GTTATGTGATCATTTACAACAATGGGTAATTATGTATTTTGTCATTTGAGAGTAGGGTTCTGCTCAAATGCAAAAGTCAATAAAAGATTGGTAGTATCAAGCAGCTTTTTCCTTTTTTTATTCACAATCTTAAAAGCATTAGTCAAATGTTGTTTTTGGCAGTTTTTCATCCTAGATGGTTTGATTTAGTATTCCATAAGAATTGGATTGAATCAAGTACTATACCAACTATTTTTTTTTTGCCCTTTGTTATAATAGTTCACCTTTTATTCAAAGCCCCATATATTTTCTTTGCATAAATACATAAATAAGACTATGCACTGCCGACAATGGATAGTACCAGGAAATTTCATCCATGGTCTGTTACCTCTTTGAAGAGAGCAATAGCACAATGATTAATTGACTAAAACTAGGGTAATAATGTTTGTTTTGTGCCTCAATTGTCTGATTACATTGTATACACTACCTAAACCCTTTGACCCCCAAGTGTTACTAACATCTAATTTCTCCTTACAATATCACCCTAAATCACACATTAAGGTCATGAGAATAAAGGAAATGATCACTAACTAAAGAATCTCTTGATTGCTAAACAAATTCTCCTTGTCAGCACCTCATGAAATGTATAGAGAACAGTATGAAGAATAAGCATACTGATCTTAAGGTATCAAGGGTTAAAAGAATAAGTATCTCATGTTTGAAGGTATCCTTTATGTTTAGCCATCCTATAGAATTATTTTCAAATTCTATCCATGTAAGCTAACTGTTCCTTGGACTGTTGCCAGGTGATTTACTTCCACCTGATCCTGAGCTGTCTAACTTTGGCAGCTTCCGCACAGCTGCCACCTTCTTCACAGGACCTTTCTTTGGATCAATTATCCTTTGATTGTCTGGCAGGCCAAAGTGGTTAGGATGTCTGAAAAATGAGAAATCAAGTAGATGAGGAAATAAGGAAATAGACAGCAACACTACTAAACCATTGAAATATGTGCTCCATAGGTTTAAAGTCCAAGAAATAGATGTTTCAAAATCTTTTGTGCTTGAAATTGAAATTCCCTGTGTTGATCCTCAACTACAAAATCCCTTTCTTCATTAATTTGAATGATTTTCTTTTTTTTTTTTTTTGCAACATAAAAGATAGCAACAAAGATTTAGAATGACTACCAAACAAATTAGCATATTTAGTAAACTAAACTGATCTCCTCATCATAGTTATCTCAAAGTATTTTATATCATCGGTTATGGCCAAACCTTAATTTTGCATTGTTCAACTGAGCTTCATTCTCTCTCTGAGCTTCATGAATTGCTTGTCTTGTTTTTGTTTTTGTGTCATCGATGAATGCAGCAGTCTGAGATGCAAATAAAGTAACAAAAAATGGTGAATAGTACCTGTTCCTAAAAAATTTACTATTTGGAGGAGCATTCACTTTCAAACCAACTTCACCATCACTGGGATTTATTCCAAATTTCACAGAACAAACTGATCATAAGTATTGCTACCTTACAAAAATGGGATGACACTCTATTGCAGGGAAATATCAGCATTTTTTCCCAGATCATTAATACCCAGTTCATTAATACCCACTAACACTCCTGACTGATCAAGGCACTGTAAAAGCAAAGTGTCTCACCCAGGCCAAGGCACTGACTCATACCTCTTGACCAGGAGTGTAATTTGGAATTTTAATAAAAAGTGGGATATAGAACCAAAGAAACTTTTCTGTTGATATCAGTCTTCTGGAAATGGCAGATTACCATTTTATGGCCAGCAAAGGTACATAGTTAAATGTACTTACAGGTGCAAATCATGTTCAACAGCACACTTACCTCATCTAGTTCAGTTAGGTACTTCTTTCTTTCCTCATTTATCTTGTGAAAAGCCTAATTCAAAAATCAATAAGGAAGTATTATTAATTTATCTATTTTGTACCATTCATACTAAGGTGTGACTCTACTAGACAGAATATAAGAAGTAGCATTTCTTCCTTCATTGCTACTTGGTTTGTTTGTTTGTTTGTTTTTTCTTTTGACACAACCTCTACCTACACCCAACCTACAATTTTTCAAATCAATCAATGTAGCTGGGTGATGAGAGAAATTTTAACACTTTACTCCAAGTATAGATCAGTGCAATGGATCAGGAGGAATAATAATCTCTCTATCCCAGCATATTGATCACTACACACCCAGTCAAACAGGTAATAAGCTCAATTGTGGGGATACAGGCTGAATTTAAATACCACATTCTTGAGACAAGTCATCAAAGAGGGAATTCAATTCATTAGTTTGAAGAATTATCATTCAGACTGCTGGAGTTTAAGTTTAAGAAAGAAGCAGATCTTGAGCTTGTCAATGCAAGTGCAACTATAATGTAGGTTACTTCATCCATAAATCCACACCGGTGAGAAAAAGTACAGAAAAACTCAATGATATTCAGTTAATGACAAATTGATTACTTTAACCATTGAATTTTATGAAGCTATAGAATGCATTTTGATACCTTGGATTCATTGTCTAGACGCCATTCTAAGTCTCGCAACTGACCCTGTAACTCTGTTTTATCCCTCTCCAGCTGTTTCATTAGTTTTCTTATTTCTGCCTGATGGAAAAATTATCAAGAATAGAACTGTTCGGTCACTGATATAATTTTAAAATCTCAGTTGCATGACTTAAATTAACCCTTTAGCTCCTGTGAGTGACCAAGACAGAATTTCTCCTTACAATATCAATACAATATCAAGCAGACAAGTGACAAGAATAAAGAAAACTATAAATTTGAAAATAATTAGCTGATCCAATACTAAATTCTCTGAATTAACATTATAAGAATTGTATGGTTGACAGTAAGGAGAATTACAAATTTGGTGTGGGAGTTAAAAGGAAAAGAAATAAATATCATCATTAAAAATGGTGACTCATACATACAAAAAAAGCATGAAAATATGTACATCAATTGAAAATAAATTAAACACAGTAAAAAAAGTTAAATTTCTAAACTTACATCAGATAAACCATTATATGTTTTGAGATGATTACTTGGTTTTCCTGTAAAAAAATATATCAATATCAACAAAAGTGAGCACTATTAGAAATAAAGGAAAAGCTACATTAAAGACAAATTTATTCCTAAGTATTTGACACAGGATGTTCTCTTAAATAAGCTGGGCATGGCATCCTCAGCTCATGAACCCAGACAAGACAATCCCTTAAACCTGACCATGATTAGACATGGCTTATACCTCATTTACACCAAAGCTTAGAAACGTTTTGAACTTGTTTTGTTAAACATGGTTGAAAATTTTATTCTTCATAGAAACTGTTAAGACTGATGTTTGTTGAAAAATTCAGTTTTCAGTTCTCTGCTTCTGATTTTCATTCAGTTATACCAAGTTTAGGCAAACATGTTTTGCTGGTGTGAATAGTGTGTAAGTCAGAAACATGCTTTCAAAGGCTGTCAGCCAACCAGCCACTCTACAGCTGACACAAATCACAGTAAATCTGGATCTCCCTCCTTGGAGTCCAATGCAATTGCAGATTACAGTACCAAGGTGGCCAGCTCTCCTCTAACAAAGGCCAAATATAGGTGTATTGATCAACAATATGTTTATATTCTAAGTAAGCTTACCATCTCGAGATGGAATCTTAAGTTGGCCAAGTTTTTCCCGTAATAACACAACTTGTTTCTCAAGCTGGTTGTTCATTTCTTGCTGAGTTTCAAATCGTGTCTTCCATTCGTTATCTACAAAAGGTTGAGCAGGAGTTAGATTGCTATACAAAGAAACTTCTTTAATACTTTTAATTTTACTTAATAAAATGAAAGATCGAAACATAACCACTTTTGATATTCTACACCGAATATAAGCATACACAAATCCTTTTACCTTCGCCTTCAACGTTGTCGTTTTTCTCTTCCAGATCGCTGATGGTATTCACTAATTCAACAGAAGATTGTTCTAGCATCTCCCTGTCAAGAAAGACTGTGTTAGTCATAGAGAAAAGAACATCCTTCCTTTAAAAAAATTGGGACCAAAGCGAATTCGAATCTTTGATTGACAATTTAGTTCATTCGAGTAGACGAAAATAATTTGCAGAGAATGCAATTTTATTAGGTTGCACAGTGTTAATTTAACGGTAACTCATGATAAAGAGTTTCTCAGAAAAGACGTGAAAAAGAAACGTAAAGTGAGTACAGCATATTGTAAGTTACTAGGCCTACAAAAAACATCCCTCCTATCGTGAAAACTAATGGAGATTCCCTGAGATGGCAAACATCATAAACGGCGATGTTGCTAAGTGACTTTTAATAAAATTCAAAACAAAAATAAATGATACGATACCGTGATAATAGACTGAGTTCCGTACAAAAAGATTACATTTAAACTGCCGGGGAAAATAACGTCAACAAAAGGTTTATTTAGCTTTGATTACGACATACTTCATTTGTCGTTCTTGTTGTATTTCTGCTTTTAGTCGTTCGATTTCATAGTCTAATTCCGTTCTTGGTCCGTCTTGGTGTTGTTGCGGTTTTGAGCCACGCGAAGTACTCATTGTAGAACCTTTCCTGGACTTTTTAGATTGTTTATGGAACTTTTTCTTGTCATCAACTCTATCTTTGGTTTTCTGGATCGGAATAACAGGCGTTATGTCGGTAAATCTGCGAGCATGGCGCATGTCTGGTTTCTATGGTTACGACATCAAATGATAACCCGATGAAAACAACGAAAAGACTGCCTTGTTAAGTAAACTTTGTAGATATTTGTTCTATTGCCGTGCAATCAAATTTCAATTAAAAAGGTATCATTGGTGAGTTACAATTAATATCGAATAAATGATTGATTAACCATCCATTAATTAAGAGGACGTCACAGCGAAAATGAATGAAGTAAGATTTGAATTAGCTGCTAGGAATCAATTACCTTGAAGAGTTGCGTAAAAGATCATGCAACGAATGCTGTAGAATGTCACTCTAGGGAAAGAACTCTTCAAATGGTAATCCCCAAATGGCTGATAATCAAGAACAAAAACCTGAAGTGGGGCAAGATAATAAAACAGACGCCCCATCGGGGAGAACTGTAAAAACTGAAAAATCGGAACCGAGTTCCACCCGCGCGGAAAACCCACTTGCCGGAGTGACTGCGCTTCTAGAGCGATACGGCTACCAACTGGGAGACATTCTCGGCAAAGGATCTTATGCAGTGGTAAGGAAGGCCTACTCAAGAAGGCACAAAAGATATGTTGCTGTTAAAATCATATGCAAGAAGAAAGCGCCCGAGGATTTTTTATCCAAATTTCTGCCTCGAGAGATCAAGGTTCTTAAGAAACTCCAGCATCCTCATGTCCTCTCACTGATTGAGGTTATTGAGACAAACACCAGGATGTACATTATAACAGACCTGGCGGAAAGCGGCGATCTTTTAGAGTTTATACGAAAGAATGGTGCAGTAGCTGAGGCTCAAGCAAAACGATTGTTCAAACAACTAGTCCTAGGGATCACCTATGTTCATAGTCAAGATGTGGTGCATAGAGATCTAAAATGTGAAAATCTGTTGCTAGACAAAGAAAAGAATCTTATTGTATCTGATTTTGGATTTGCGCGCGATAATTTGACGTCAGCTACGGGCAAGAAAAAGCTCTGTCATACCTATTGTGGTTCTTACGCCTATGCACCTCCAGAAATACTTAAAGGTGAGTTAATTCCTCAGATCTTTACTCTGGGTTTATTTTTTTCTTTTTTCATCCTACACTTGCTACCGAGATGAAACTGCAGACAGTATTCTACATCGCCTTTTGAAGCATTTATCACAGAATGTATGACAAAATGTTCAGTTCTGGATGCGTATTCAAATCTCGAGCCGGTGTAGTACTTGCTTTATATATGTGATGAGTAACAGTACTTCGACTTTGATATTTTGTCAAATCCAGTTTTTTTTAAATTTGAGTTTAAATCAGAGAGGAGAAACCATTTCCAAAACATAACTGGGTCCAAGAGCGGGATATATGAAGAGATTCCTGTGATCTGATTGGTTACCAGATTGGGCCAGATGAACCCCCGGGATTACCCGCATTATTATGCCAAAAGAGAGAGAGATAATACTCATTTTCACTTTTCATTCCTAGTAACTTCTAAGGAACTTTTTATTCTTTCAAGAAAAAGTTTTTTTGGTGGATTTGACTATTACACATTCAGGCGTGCCTCAACCCCTCACACCCCAAAATCAATATACATCTTCTCCATACTGTTCTCCACACATTTCCGAAGGTGCTGATAATAAGAATTTGTTTAACAATCAAGAGTTTCTTTAATATATGATCACTTCCCTTACTCTCGGAACCTTAAATTTTTGATTCAGGGGTGATATTGTAAGGAGAAATTAGATGCTAGTCACTATTAAAGTCAAAGGGTCAATACCGCCAAAGGAAGGAAATATATAAAAAGGTTTCACGATTCATCCGGCAATTCTGATGGTCCCTTTAGGAATCGCTTATGATGCTACATTAGCAGACGTATGGAGTATGGGGGTGATTCTGTACACCATGGTTTGTGGTCGACTTCCTTTCGATGATTCCAACCTACGGAGTCTGCTGCAACAGGTTCACCGCAGAGTCAACTTTCCTTCAAAGATTAAAATCGCTGAACCTGTAAAAGCCATCATCCACAAAATGCTACAATGGAACTTAACCGAGCGAGTAACGGTGGAACAACTTAGAACTGACCCATGGCTGACCGAAGAGAAGATTGAGAACGAGGTCGAGATAGCCTCGTCATGAAGTTGAAGCAATTAGCATGCCAAGATAAAATAGGCATTAGAGTGTCCTCTTTGTATCGATTGTGACCATGGAAAACCTGATTTGGCGTTAATGGCATTTAGTAAATGGGGAGACAATTCTTTAAGCACCCAAACAGTAACCAGAAGATATCATTGGAGATTATTTATTTACTGGTTGGGTCTCAAATGAGCGTTCACCCAACTCTGGTCCAATGTTTAAAAAAGAGCCCGACTAAACGCAGCAGCCTCCATTTAGTTTAGAAGGTCAAAATTTAAAAGAGGGACAAAGTCTAATGCATAATTCACATCAACCGGCTGAACTAGGAGTTCAAAAGTCTCTGAGCGAGAATCTGATGAAGAACTAATATCATACAACGAACTTGCTCATTTGAGCAGTAAAGGATCATCTCAAGTATTATACAACTGTCATTCTCTTTGAATATTCTTCAGTTATTGTTAGCATCAAATTCTTGATCATTCGCCGAAAATTCTCTCGTTTTTTCTTTGAAGGCTTGAATTTCACCTTTCTTTGTAATGTTAGAGATCTCTTGCGCGCTTTCTTTGTTCTTCTCGTCTTCGCCATTTTTTTCCTTAATTATGTCACTTTTAAAATTTTCCTTGGAGCTGACGTCATTCGTATTATCTTGTAATTCTTTATCTAAATCGCTACCAGGAATTTTGAATTCACCTTCGTCCAGTTCCAGGTCCTCCCCGTCCTCGATCGCGGCGGCTTCCTCATACTCCTCATCATACATTCCGGGCTCTGCATACACGGGTACGAGGCGCGTAAAAACTTGCAATCTGTGATTCTTAGTATCTGCTACGATTATGTTTCCAGTGGTATCTAAGACAACATCATACGGGGTATCAAGACATCCCGGATCCAGGCCGATCGTTCCGAACGACCCAAGAGGTTCACCTGACAAAGAAATCGCCTGGATTCTATGATTTCGACTGTCTGCTACCAAAATATTGTCATTATGATCAAGTGCAATCCCTCTTGGGCAAGCAAACTTGCCTGCTCCTACACCTTGCACGCCAATGGTTCTACTCTCCTCCAGGCTATCTTGGCTGAAGATTTTCAGGCGATGATTTTCGTATTCCGACACAATGACGTCACCGTTCCTTCTAACTGTAATGCCCATGGGGTAATGCAAGTCATGAAGTCCTCCAATGAAGCAAAGGAAACTCCCATTAAAAGTGAATTTTTGAATTCTGTGGTTTGCTTTGTCAGCGGCGTAGATATTTTCTTGAATGTCAAATGCCACAGCACTTAGCTCCGGTCGTTTGTCATTCTTGCTGTAGACAGGCAAAATTGGGCGAAGAAGTTCACCTAAAAGAGATATGGAATATATCAGTAGAGGAAAAAGGTCGTAATTTTTCTGAATAAAGGGGGTAAGTTTCAAAAGAAACTATGGTGCCGCGTCGGTGGGGGTATAAGGAAGACAAATTGGTTTTATAAACTGAGTTGATAAAGTAAAATTGGCCTCCGTAAAGTTTCTAAAGCTGACATTTTGAGTGTTAGCCCCTTCTCATTCTGCCTCGTTTTGAGGCTTCCTCCTCGGCTGTCACGTGGCGGGCATGGTATTTCGGCCTAACCATCAAGCACATCGCATCTTGTTTTTTTTTACGCTTTTCTCTGGCTAATATAAACAGAGTAGCTCATGGGGTTAAGGCAGACAATGAAATGACGAGAAAAAGATTCTCTTATATTTGAAGATTGACAGATTGTGAGAAACAGACGCCCGTGTTACCGCTAATTACCAATGCTTTAAAGAGGCACCTTTCATCAGTTTTGAAAATTTGTTAGGAGAGGAGGGGGATTAAGGGACCGGTCATTATTTATCGCCTGGGGGGGGGGGGGTCGGAGTATTTAGGGGGGGATCACATGGTTTTTTGAAGACCTTTAGGGGGGATCAGCCGTAATTGACAAGCATAATGGGGGGGATCAGACCAAAAAAAAAGGAATTTTAGGTCGCGCCGGGACCTTAAAGATTACATCAAGAGCAAAGTAAGCGAGTCCCCTGATGAATTATTCTTTTTCAATTCTGTTTACCTCGACAACTATCGGGGTGCATCAGAACGAAACAAAGAGCAAGCGCCCGGTGCAGCATACTTCCGAAAGATCGAATCGTTTATGGAAGACCACTATATTCGTGGAGAACTTTTTATGGAATTCTGTCGTGATGCCTGTAAAGAGTCAAGAGAAGAAAGTTCCAATCTCTGTTCCTGGTGTTCTAACAATAGATGGGTCGGTCCAGAAACGGAAAGAATTCCGCAACCTGTACCAGATTCAAACAATCCTGGACATTTCATGGATATCTATCAGACGGAATCGACGGGCAGGACACCAGATGATTACCTTCCAAGAAAATGTATTAAAGATCTGTACGAGGAACATTCTGACAGTATCAGAAACGATCAGGATACCATGAAGAGCTTCTGCTCAAAATATAATGTGGAAGAGAAGCACGTCATTGCATATGTTAATCATTTGAAGGATATTGAGATCCGAAAGGACATCAGAACAAGAGCAGCTCAGGAGCGAAGAAGGCAAGAGGCCGAACGAACGTACAAGGACTTTCAATGGGATAACCTCATCGAGGGTGGCAAAGTTGCAAAGTTGCGGGTAAGAGAACTAGACCTGTATCTCAACAAGCATGGTTTGACGACTGTGGGTCGGAAACTTGACAAAGTGAAGGCCATTCGATGTCACTATTACCGACAGAATAAAGAGACTGTGATAACAGAAGAACTGTCGAGTGATGAAGATGACGTGGAATCCGAGGATGAAGAATCCGAAAGTGGAGAGGCAGAGAGCGACGATGACTATGTTTTCGTGGATTTGGATGAACAGCCTGAGATTGGCACTTCCTCGACAATTCAGTTCGTATCTGACGAGCAAATATTTACCGTTGTGGTTCAAGGTCCATGAGACGTAAGTACCACTATTAAAATATCACTTGCATATTCAAAAAGTTATTTGGCGGTGGCTGGGAGAAAAGGGGGGGGATCATGAAACTTTCCACTACCGATAAGGGGGGATCTCTAAAAAACTAGATACTCTACGGGGGGATCAGGTAAATGCTCCGATGTGACAACAAAAATACTCCGACCCCCCCCCAGGCGATAAATAATGACCGGTCCCTAACAACAGCCTATCTAACCTGTTTTGCTAAACACACGTAAAATCTGCGAGTCAGTCATCACCAGATCTCCTCGAAGACTGACTGCTAAGGCGCTTGGTCGGCTTTTCCCACCCAAAACTAATGGCTCCCGTGCAATGTTACCGTTCACGTCTAGAATTTGAATACGCGCGTTGCCATGATCAGCGACGTAAATATATCCTTGTGCTCGGTCGACAGCCACGCTGGTGGGAGACTGAAACTGAGGAGGATTCACGCGTTTCCCTTTTCGACCAATCACATTTGATTCTCGCTCAGAAATTTCGCCGTAGTCCAGAACCTATGGGCGAAAACGTGAGCATTCGTTGTAAAATAAAGATGTGTAAGGAGTGAAAAACATGTTCTTACGGATGCGTGTGTTTAAAGGAGCACGGTCACGACCCGGACATGCGCAATGGGTTCCTCTCGCAGGTATCCTCTAGAACACATTTTCATATGGTCCGCCATCTTGACCTTGAAAAGAGAGAGATCAATCTACTTTTTGTTTCTTTGGTTTTTGTCTTTCGGTAAAGTAAAAAAGAGGTACACGGAGGTAGACGAAATAGAGAGAGAACGAAGGGGAATGGGTACCAGTAGTAATGGACAACTGTTTCCTTCCTTCCTTTAGCCGTTAATTCGTTTGTGCCCTTGCTGACTGAGAATAACCATGCGCAATGCTTCAGGAACGTACTCTTATCGTAAACGGTATCTGGTTATTCGAATTTCAGAGAGGCAAAGAATCCCTTATGAGTTAAGTGATTGAGATAAAATTCACAGTACTGGAGAGTAAGCTTCAGAGAATAAACTCCTTATAAGCATTGGAGCCCTTGTTACCACCTCCAAAGTTATTTTCAGATTTAAGCACGATGCATCTATTCTAGTGGTGAAAATGCCACATGAACTACACGCATTGCTTGGATGGTCTCTTTAATTAGGACAGATCAATTTGAATAAAACTTCACACCATTTACCTTGTATTCCAGTCTCCTTGTCAAGTGCGTCTCATTCACTGCGTTACCATGGTTACCATTCAACAGATTCTGACCTCTAGTTGCTGGTCTTGAGAAAGGTGTCAGCGGTTTCATTCGCCGTGTATCTTCCAGTTCAAGCGAAAGACTCTCCAGTTTTTCTTGCAAGTCCGCCGAAGCTCGTTGATTTTTCCTGGCGCTTTGCTTGAGAGCACGTACCTGCATCAAAGAGTCATGAATACTATCCTCTAGGACAATCAAGTCTTGCGTTTTGTGTCTGATCTCTACATGAGTAGTCCTTATCATGTCCAGAGCATTCTGATGTTTTGCGATGAGTTCATCCTCCTCTCTTTTCGTTTTTTCGTTTTCCTCTTGCTTGTCCTTTAATTCTTTTTTAATCGTCGCGCTGCTATGGTTTTCGTCCAATTTCTGTTTAATTTTGTCCATCTCAACTTGTTTCTTCTTTAGGAAGAATCGAACCGTTTCCAATTTTCTTTCAAATGATTCTATATTGCTTTCATACTTGACTATCTTGCTTTTCAAACTTTGAATTATTTCCTCAACGATGACCATATTTTGGTTGTTTGCCTGGATTTGCACCTCGGATTCTTTGATCTGATTAGAGATTTCTACATCTACATCCTCGCACGTCCTTATTTCATTTTCCACATTCTCGATCATGCGCAGTAAGGTCTCCCGTCTGTTGTTCAATCTGGAGGCTCGTTCACTTTGTTGTCGCTCACCTAAGAAGAAAGGATTGGTTCAGCGTCTTGCCTTTGAGACCCCGGGCAGACCACCTTATGAATGTGTTGACATGTAGGACATATGAAAGAAATATGAGAACTGTATGGCGGCTGCGAATGAAATAATGAAACGCATTTGGTCTGAAAATCTCAATGTGAATGCATTGAAGTGCCATTGTTTTCGCTTAGGTCTGCGTCGCTCAGAGTTGTTTCAAAATTTAATTAAGACAGAGGGATAAAAAAAATCCCACGCCATTACACTTTTTCTCCCTCAAATAATAGCTCATATCTGCTCTTGAAGATCTTACAATTCAACTAAAAAAATTTCGATTAGCTTAACCTAAATTAACAATTCAAAAGATTCAATTCTGATTTGAAAACAGCCTCAAGCACCTTTTGCTTAAAGCACGCATATTATAGACAACCTATACCATCTATCAAAAGAAAAAGAAGGGACCTGAGAGAATATTTGCTAAAGAGCGCGTCTTGGTTTGCGCGCTAATAGCTATTCTACAGCGAGATTAGCTAAAACAGTTCATGATAATTAACTGCGAATACTAATTACACCTCAGGGACATTTTGTGCTTTTGGGTGAGTAGTTGTCTTAGTCAGATAGTTTGGTTTGGTTGTTCAAACGTCGCTTTTTTTGTAATGTAATGCTAACGTTATCGTTCCTTTATCAATATTAAGGTGACATTAAAGAAATTATGACATTTTAATTTCTTTTTGAATCGTTAGACAAAGCAAACATAAGAAACAGCCGGCGCAAAAATGAAGCAGTTCAAAACTTTGTCGTTGTCTATGAGTGTTACAGTCGTATCATCAAAACTTGCTTCTTGAAATGAAAGTGCGAACGTCTTGAATTTTTTCCACAATTAATTTGTAGGAAATCTCGCAAACTTTGTTTCTGCTAATCACGCACGGTACTGCATGAATGTTTACTAAGGCCAAAGAAAGAATTATCAAAACGTCATGATAGAAATCTATTTTCATGAAACGCTTTTCAAAGTATCGCGATTCATCTGAGCGGATCTTAGTGGAAATATGAATCTAGTATCAGCCCTTTTTAGCGATAAAGAACCAGATGACATCCACGTAAGTAGTTGAAAATGAATCAACCGCCAGATATTTAAATTACAACAAGGTTACCAGTGCTAATTTGAATGGCTCCTAATCAGGATTTAACACTCACCAATAATTGTCACAGAAGTGAATTTTTCCCGGAACTCATCCACTAAGTGAACTTGTTTAAGACACTTAGCTTCTATCAGAAGCTTTCTCATAAACGCCAGTTTCTTCTCGGTTACCAAACCTCTTTTTCTCAGCAGTTCAGTGAGCTCCTGTCCTGAATCAAGATGCTCTAATGTCTCCTTATTTACGTGTCCTTGTAGCAGATACTTCATGTAATGGACATCGCTGAGCTTTAAATCTTTCCCAATGTCATGAAGAAGAACGTGGAAAGGTGTGCTGTTTACCACTACCGCCGACATCGAAGAATATGCCCCAGAAACTTTACTGACTTACCGGAGTCGTCGCCTGGCTGTTCCCTGGTTACATTCCGGCTAACATCGAATTTACACAATTAACATACTATTTACTCTATTCTTTCAACTCTTTTCACGCGTTGCTTAGAGAAAAACAAAAGCGAGGAGTATTGTCAAAGATAAAGTCAATAATTGAACTAAAATCCTATTCTTGATGTCATTAGTGCAAAAAAATTGGACAATGTTCAGGTGGAGAGTATTTCAAAGACGGGGGTAATGGAATTTTTTGTATCCGACGGTACTTGATGCTCATTTAAATCAAAAGCTTATACGGTAAAAGGGGTAAGTTTTCAAAGGAACTGTGGTGCTGCTTTGGTGGTGGTGGTTGTGGGAGGGGGGTGGGGGTATTATTGGTCAATTTAATTTATCATATATGTAGGGCCTCAATGGATAGCAGTTTTCATCTTGTGCAAAAACTGAAGGAGCTACCCTATTGAAATAAAGGTTTTTTTTACTTACTTACGAGATAAATGTTTATTTCAACTGCATGATTTCGGCATTGAATGTGAATGTCTGAGCGTACGTTTCGTGGGTAAGCCCTTCGTCAGAGCGAATAGAGGGTTATATGCTTCTGTTTGAATGTCATCTAGAGTTTTCATCGAGTACATTAGAAAAATGGTCATCCAGTTTTGCGCTGGCGGACCGTCCATACATACATACAAGAAGATGAGTTGGCTCATATTTCCGATTAAAAGTTGGGTCTTTCTTTCAGTCCTTTTTCAAGTCATTATTTTCTTTTATCAACACTCAATACTATGGGTCAAAAAACATAGTCTGATCGGGAAAGAAATTTTAAAAATTCTCCAAATGCGCTGTTACAGTGATTTTGCCTACACGACGTAAGTAAGTAAAGTAAAGCCTTTATACGGCACGACGTAAACTAAGCTAAAAAATACCTCACTTTGGCATCAACTACTTTTTGCAGCTTAAACAAAAAAAATACTTCTTTTTCCGCTTATTTGAGACTTCTTTCTTTCTTAAACGTATATTTCCCAGGCCTTGAGAGTAAGATCATAAATTTGCCTATTTTTTCCAATAATTCTGGAATTTGTACGACCTACTTCAAGGATAGGAAAAATCGCAGAATAACCTCAAACTCAAATAGTCGTTTTGCCCCCCCCCCCTTCCTTTCCTACTTCAGACGACCTTCAAACGACTGCTAGGGGGGGAAAGGGGACAACCTTGGAGAAAATAGTAAGGAGAAACAACTACACTTTCTCCAATTTCGCTCGTCATCAAAGCAGAGGCGAGCATTCTCAATTTAATTTTCAAGCTTGAAGCAGTTAGGTATTTCAAAAGGATCATTGCACAAGTATTAAGATGAGTGTTGGTTCTCCTCCGAAAAAGACGTTTGGCAGAAAAACAGCCGTATCAGCACTATGGAATCTTTCATTTACTGCGGTTGAATTGAAAATGCAATCATCAGTCGGTCAGAGAGGAAAAACATGTTCTTTATTGATGACATTCACTATAGCGCACAAAAAAGGCAAAAACAAAATTTCAGTATCACTTCCACATTAACTTGGCAGTAGCAATAGTTAAATATCCTTGGACATAAATAATGCATGAACAAGTATAAGGGAAGTACTGAAATTACAATATTAGCATTGGAAAATTTTTGAAACTGTTGTAATATCATCAAATATGATAACTTTTAAATAACAAAATCCTTATGGATATCAAGCAAAAGTCGTAGACACTAACATATACAATCTTGATAATTTATGACTGTTTACAAAATTAAATCCCTTCTCTTGTAATGCTGGAGAAAATTTATGTGAGAAATTTGTCACTATCCCAATCAATTAATTGTATTGTTTTTGGCCGAGGTAAATGCAAGAAATATATTAATGATAATATCTATTTAACAATGCCTTATGCCTAGTCAATATATGTACTACACTAGGCAAGTCTCACATTGCTAGGGATAATTCTGACCTCAGGGAGGGAAATTAAATAGTAATTTAGTACCTTTCTGGATCTGCTCTTAAGTTGGAATTATAATTGGTATATAATACAGTATTGAAAATGATAATAACAATAATGGCAATAATAATAATAATTCTAACCATAGGAAAGAAAGATAAATAGTAATTTAGTACCTTTCTGGATCTGCTCTTAAGTTGGAATTGTAATTGGTATATAATACAGTATTGAAAATGATAATAACAATAATGGCAATAATAATAATAATTCTAACCATAGGAAAGAAAGATAAATAGTAATTTAGTACCTTTCTGGATCTGCTCTTAAGTTGGAATTGTAATTGGTATATAATACAGTATTGAAAATGATAATAACAATAATGGCAATAATAATAATAATTCTAACCATAGGAAAGAAAGATAAATAGTAATTTAGTGCCTTTCTGGATCTGCTCTTAAGTTGGAATTATAATTAGTATATAATACAGTATTGAAAATGATAATAACAATAATGGCAATAATAATAATAATTCTAACCATAGGAAAGAAAGATAAATAGTAATTCAGTGCCTTTCTGGATCTGCTCTTAAGTTGGAATTATAATTGGTACATAAAACAGTATTGAAAATGATAATAACAATAATGGCAATAATAATAATAATAATTCTAACCATAGGAAAGAAAGATAAATAGTAATTCAGTGCCTTTCTGGATCTGCTCTTAGGTTGGAATTATAATTGGTACATAAAACAGTATTGAAAATGATAATAACAATAATGGCAATAATAATAATAATTCTAACCATAAGAAAGAAAGATAAATAGTAATTTAGTACCTTTCTGGATCTGCTCTTAATTGGAATTATAATTGGTATATAATACAGTATTGAAAATGATAATAACAATCATGGCAATAATAATAATAATAATTCTAACCATAGGAAAGAAAGATAAATAGTAATTCAGTGCCTTTCTGGATCTGCTCTTAGGTTGGAATTATAATTGGTACATAAAACAGTATTGAAAATGATAATAACAATAATGGCAATAATAATAATAATAATTCTAACCATAAGAAAGAAAGATAAATAGTAATTTAGTACCTTTCTGGATCTGCTCTTAAGTTGGAATTATAATTGGTACATAAAACAGTATTGAAAATGATAATAACAATAATGGCAATAATAATAATAATAATTCTAACCATAGGAAAGAAAGATAAATAGTAATTCAGTGCCTTTCTGGATCTGCTCTTAGGTTGGAATTATAATTGGTACATAAAACAGTATTGAAAATGATAATAACAATAATGGCAATAATAATAATAATTCTAACCATAAGAAAGAAAGATAAATAGTAATTTAGTACCTTTCTGGATCTGCTCTTAAGTTGGAATTATAATTGTTATATAATACAGTATTGAAAATGATAATAACAATAATGGCAATAATAATAATAATTCTAACCATAGGAAAGAAAGATAAATAGTAATTCAGTGCCTTTCTGGATCTGCTCTTAGGTTGGAATTATAATTGGTACATAAAACAGTATTGAAAATGATAATAACAATAATGGCAATAATAATAATAATTCTAACCATAAGAAAGAAAGATAAATAGTAATTCAGTGCCTTTCTGGATCTGATCTTAGGTTGGAATTATAATTTGTATACAATATTGTATTGAAAATGATAATGACAATAATGGCAATAACAATGATGGTTGCAGACTCATTGACCCAGCCATATGTTTACAGAAGTTAAATGCTCAAAATCAGAGGCAACAATGTGTTTAGGGTTCTTCATCAGATGAAAACAATGGTGCTTTTTTAGGGCTCTTGTTCTTAGGTTTACAAATGACAGCTGTGTACCGCTTGTTTGAATCCTTTTGTACTTTGTCAATCAGCTCCGTTAATTTTGATGGCGAAGGCATGTTGCAGAGGAAACTACCATTGTGGACATATGAGGGAGTGCTTTCCCTTGATCGAAGATTGTAGCGTACTGATGGACTTGAATTATGACCCTGACAAACATAAAAAGGCAAAAATCATAAATAGGACAGCAGCATAGAAATATGGGAGAACGGTATCACAGGGAAGAAAAGGAAAGTTTTATTCCAGACAAATCTAACCCTTTTGTTACTCCTTGTTCTTCTGGACACGGCAGGGTTTGTCTTTTTAGGTGTTCCTTTGGCTTTTGTTCCAATCACTGGTGTTCTCACATCAGGTATGGTGTCTTCAGTCTCAGAATCATCTTCCTCCTCTTCCTCACTGCTATCATCAGAAAAACTCTCCAGGTCTGACTCACCAGGTGTATAACTCAAATCAGACTCATCATCACTATACAAGTTTTGTGCACAATCACTGATGGGACCATCTTGTAAATCACATATTTGGACATATTTTGTACAACCAGGATGTGTAATACTTGGCATTGAATGTCTGCACACAAAAAAATATTAGAATAATATTAGGCACTTGTATGTGGCTGACAGTATGCTGGCTTGTTTGATCTGTGGTCTGCTAACATGGCTGAATCACAGTTATTACATCCCATGCTCTGTAAAAAGGTAAGATGACACTACTGGTATTTATGTGACTGGCTACCACAGATGCTGACAAAGGCATAAAAGAATAAGAATGTTCCCAACATACAAGAACATTCACTTTCACCATAGACCCCTACTGATGTGACCAGCTATCTGTGACACTGTTAACAGTTTTGCAGTGAAATAGAGATTTCTTGCTGAGTAATGTTTCGCTGCTCAAAGAAGTCAACTTTAAACAGGTTTGTTATAAAAAAACATGGTTTGTTATAACAGCCAGAAATATAAGCCTGAGCTTATGAACAAAAACTGCTACTTTAGAAGTCACCAAACTAACAAAACCAATGATTAATGTTTACCCTGGTATCTTTTTACAAAGTTCTTATTAGTTTTTTCATACATACTCATAAATTATATATATTGATGAATATTGTTACTTGATGTAAATTTGTGGCACATTTCCCAATTGTACTGTTACCCACAGATAAGCTGCACCCCCAACTTGCTCCAAAAATTTTGGGGAAAATGGAGCAGCTTATTTACCAGTGTTCACTGTATACAACCTCTTGGAGTTCTCCTTTGCTCTCGACAATGATAACAAAAGCAACAATACTTAACAGAAGAACCAATATCGGATTTACCTGCTCTGCACAGGCTGAGGTGTAGAGTCTCCATTTGTAAGTGCCTTCAAACTTTTGATTGTCTCCTGCCATCGCTTCATATCTCGAATCTGAAGCTGCATCTCACAAAGCATATTAAAGTTGATTTTGTTGTAATCTTGATATTGGTATCCAACAACCATTATCACAATAGTTGTGATAATGATGAATAGCTTTCTCAAAAACCAAAGTCTTGAGTGTATGGCTTCCTGTGAGACAAATGTGAAAAGTAGTGGTCAGGAATATCAATAAGTATACTATTCAGACTTGAAGGAGATTAAACAGTTATAGTGTAACTTACAGACTTCGCTTTCTCTCTAAAACATATGAAAAGTTTACCTTGTGATTAACATGATTTTACTTCAAGGAGGCTTACTGATTAGGAGTCTGACTTCCATATTGAGCCCTTTATGGAATTCATTGTTTTCTGTTATTAACCCTTTTACTCCCAAGATCTCATTAGTAATTCTCCTTACTGTTTGCCATACAGTTCTTGTGTAGTTAGTTGGGAGAATTGGTATTAGATCAATTCATAATCCCCTAATTGATATTTTTCTTTATTCTCATCACTTGTCTGCTTGATATTGTAAGGAAAAATTCTGTCTTGGTCACTCATTGGAGATAAAGGGTTAAGAAGAACAAATAACTCTCGAAGTAACTCTCTTCAAAGTTTATGGACAGAGACAAATAATAATAATGACAGCAACATCATATGATCTAATTCACTTAAAATAGGCCATTTTACAGATGTGTGCTAAGTTGCCAAGCCTTTGGTTTGGAGTGAGGCTGAAGGTGGCCATGTTGTGATAGAAACCAATATTTAGTTAGCATGATAACAAAGTAATTAACATTTGAAAAGCAACAATGTTTGTATCATAAAAAGGTCACCATTAGCCTCACTTCCATTCAAAGGCCTGGCAACCAAGTAGGCAACTGTAAAATGAACTATTGAGGATCAGCAGGAAATGCAGACATAAGATTTCATAATCTTATTTCTTCAATTTTTCACAAACTGTGGTGCTTGTTTGCAATTTACCAATTAACATATCTTCAGTTTACCAAACATTCTGAATTGTTTAGTGGCTTGTTTCAGTAGTTGAAGCTTCACACAAAGCTGCTGTCACTAATTTTTTTCCCACCATTCCTGCAATGTGGCAGAATTTTCAATAAATGAATAAAGGGGTTGAGTTTCTTAGGAAACTGTGGTGCTGCACAGGTGTGAGGTATGACAAGATTTGGTTTCATCAACTGAGTTGATAATATACATTAGCTATTGTGAAGAATTTTAAAGCTTACATTTCAAGTGTTAGCCTTTCATCAGAGGGAATGGCAAAGGGCCAACCTTTGAAACGTCAGAGTATTCATTATGCACATACAGTAATTAAAACACTACATGTACTATGCCTTACTGTGTTGGTTGACTGGGTGTCTGTCACCCCATAAGATGTCACCAGCCGCTCACTGAATATGAGAATAAACAACAAAACGAAAAGCGGGAGTCTGCCAGCTGCCGTGCGTGGAGTGCTTGTCAGGAAATAACATGAACATACTGCTGCAATGTAGAAAGCTACAGATTGTAAACTTATGAACTCTCCAAGAATCATTGATTGCAGTCTTTGGACCTTTTCCACACTTTTGAAGACACCATCAAATGTTTCAGTGAATAAAGCTTTTTGTTCGACAGCATTTTGCTTCATGTCCTCGAAGGCTTCCCTTGCTGTTGACGTGGAGTTCTTCAGTGTCGCAGATAACTGGATTTCATTTGATATGATTTCCTTCTGGTTTTCGAGGGAAATATTCTGTGTTTGTAGTAATAGGATTTGTCTTTGGGCAGACTCCTCCAGCTGAGCAGAAACCTGTTGGGAAGTTCTTGATAATTTAGAGATCGTGCCTTCTGTTCTTGCTTGCCACAACTCACTTTTCACGTAGAAACAGATATTAGTCGTATGAGCAAAAAATGTCGTATACGCTAGATATGTTGTGTCGTCCATTGATCCCGTACATTTCTCAACTGATTGCGTCTCTCTCGAACAAGAATAGATTCTTCTCCCTGATTTTGACAAATGGCAGTTTGTAAAATCGATTGCCAGGTAGCTCTGTTCCACGTCTCCAAGAGTCTTGCATCGTTTCTCGATCCCTTCAACAGCTTTCTTCCAGCAATCACTGCTCTTAGCGTTCGCCGTGAACTCTTCCAATTTTGATTTCCCAGCTTGTAGCTTTTCTTTAGAAAAAAGTTCAAAACCAGCTTCATTCATTGCGTTCGGTGAGTCGGCAGTTATTCTTCTTAAAAGCAAAAGAAATAGAATTGCATAACAGTTGCAAAGCACCATTTTGCCTTTTAAGTTTTGGCGCGTCAACTAGGTACTAGTTACTAGGTATAAGTCATAGACCTCGCCTGTTGCCTTGGTAACGGCTTCGAAACTGTTTGGTAATGGAAAAGGAATTTGGGAACGACGGATTTACGAATCATTAGACTGAAACTGCCATGTGTGCAAGAAAAATGCGTTGCGAGAAGTAGACAGAAGAGTTTGGAGACGGATGAATTTACTTGAATATTCTACAACCTGGGGAAGCATTCAATGTTTTTCTAGGAAAATGTCAACTACACCTGGGATAGGTTTATCACATGTGTGTCAAGCGACCAATGCAGCGTTCAGAAACAAGAAGCAAAGAATAAGTGAGATTAAAAAAATCCACGTTCAGAAAAATACTCACAGATGTGGCCCTTCCTTTGATTGATAAGAACCCAAAACACTGCAAACAAATTAAATTAAGTCAAAGCTCAAGGAGCAATTCGACGGCGGAAACGGGGGTGGGGTGGGGGGAAATGGAGTTTGGACGCAAGAATCGAAGCAGTAATATGAAGGAAAGACAAGACTCCACAAATAAATGACTTGTGCAGGCAACCGCATCATCCGCATGCGGCTCATTATTCTGAAACAGGCTGTGACGTGCCAAGCGTTAATTTCGAAAGAGCTTGGGGCTGAGTCACGAAGTTTCGTTCCGAAGAATACTAGATCTGTTGAAGTTTGAGAAACCTTTTGTCGGAATTTCCGCAAGTCTCGAGAAACTTCAAAGTTTCATCATTAGTCATTTAACAAGTGATATTATGAGTGTTGTTGAAAAGTGTGATAAGAAAAAAATTCTTATCGCAGCTGTGGTGATTTTCGTATTGTTGATAATTGGCCTTGCTATCGGACTGACCGCTAAGAAGTATCAGGCCGAGAAAAACTTACCGTATGCAACGGAGAAATGGGAGCTGCCAACAAGCTACAAAGTCCGCAGACCCAAAGGTGTGAACCTATACAAAGATATGCTGTACCTGACTCCAGAGGGAGATGAGATCGGGCACGCAAGAAAGTGTGTCGCGTGTGCTTGGACTGTTTACATGTTGAACAAGAAAGAGGAAAAAGCTGTGACAATCAAACAAAAGCTTTGGACCTGGACAGCAAAGTATGATATCAAAGAGGAATGGAAAATCAACTCGACAAGCTACAGGATCGAATATAGTTGGAGCTCGTCGAGTTTAACGAAAGATGTCTTCTTGATCAAGAATTCGAAAGACGAAGAAATTGCACGCACCGATCGCTTTCGTTTCGAACTTGGCAAGACAATCACACTGAAAGAATCCAAGTCTGGTTCAAGTTTGGGAGTCATTAAACGTCCAGCATTTCAGTTTTATCCGACATGGGAAGTAACAATCTACAAAAAAGACGCTGTTGTTCCGACGTATATGTACGCGGCTCTTGCAACTGTAACCACACTTCGGGAAGCAGAAGACGACAAACGTTGAGTTGAGTCGTCTTGGTACGAACCTTCATATACTTTTAGAAGTGGTGCATTTTTACTTCTCTTTGGGTGAGCATTACTCTAGGCTAGGTTGTTAACAATCTGCCCAATCGATTTTACATGAGGGTGCCCCCAACCCCCTTTAAGGAATTTGATGAAATCCTATAATTATAAAACAGCCCCTTTGATTTCAAAAACCTCAAAATATTCATAAAATTAACTTAAATGCTTTGTTAAAAATAATCGAGCTTCACCATTACAGCAAACTTTTCTTTCAAATAGATAGAAAAATTTACCCTCCACCTTGAAGATCATGTTCCTTTACGGGTTGGGGATGGTGTGGGAATCAAATCTGACCATGAGCAGTGCCATGTTTTGCCTCAAGTGCAGAAATTTTAAAGTAAATATTTTTGATATTTTAAAAAGCCATGACATTTTAATGATCATTTGATATGCCATTACATTGAGCAGTTTTTGTAGTACTTTTTGGTTTCAGTGGTTTGTCTCCTGTGGTAGAAGAGGCTAAGCAGTAACTAATATAGTTGGTGTTACAGGTTCCAGACTGAATGGCCAAGATTTTAATGGAAATTCTGAGTTGGGTGATCAAAAATAGTTATTGTCTTGTGTTGATTGTCACCATGTGACATATTAACTTTGTAGGTTTAAATTTTTGCACGCAAGGCAAGTGACAGTTTATAATCTTTGTAATCAGACCCACTCAGGGAAGTTCTCTACTAGAGTACTGTTCAATGTTGAAATATGTTCTGCTGGCACCAAAAATTGCAAAAAAAATTTTATTAGGAATTTCAGTTGACTTAAACTGTAAAACTTTGTTCTCACAACTTCTCCAGAGTGAAATGTTTGTGGAAAATTGTCATAGGAAATTGAAATGAAAAAAAAGACTGAAAATAATTATTTTCAATTACTCTTTTAATTTTTTAATCACAGTAATAATTTTAGGAGTAATTCTCAACTGTGATACTATACCTGACTGACACATTCATTAGGACAAGTGCCTTTGTGTCAAGTGTTGACATAGGCCTGAAACCAATCTAAGTGGTCTTGAAAGATGTAATTAAAGTGTTCTCCATACCTGTTCTCTGAAATACAGTACATAATGGCCGTAATTGAATTTTTCTTTGAAAAAGATGATCACCCACCTTTTTAATGTGTGTATAATTGAGTGCAAATTACACTCAAAAGTATTTATGCAGCAGAATCCATTACCTGTGGTGTGAAGCTGAGATATATTCTAGATGAAGCGTAGTATTAAGAATGCATTATTAATTAATCTACAAATGATGATAAGTAATAAGCTATGGAAGTGAACCTCGTGGGGAGGACATTTATTACTTAATTGTTGTTGCGAAAAGGCTACATTTTGAACATTAATTTTTATGGTTATCATTGTCTACACTTCAATATACTATTTATCTTATTTATTCATGATCAGTGTCAGAGTTGCTTTGTAAACATGTGAATCTGGTGCAGAGAAGGAAGAGGCTCAGAGCCACTTTACTTTTCATAAAATTGAACTGTTGCAATCCAATAAAAAGGAACCCCAAATGGTGTTAGGAGGTCTCCAGTGTGCAGTGTGCCATGTTTTCTGTACTCAGTCATCTCCTCTGATTTCTAATAATGTATAAGAAGGCATTTTGTCAAAGAATTCAGTCTCATAACATGTAGATACACTTAGTGCAATCCTGATGAAACAATCTGTGGAAAGTTTAGGAGACTAAACATTTTGCTAAATTAATTTCAAACTACTATAGTAATTGCAATAATTTCTGCACTGAAGTGTGAGTTGCTCTGCTCTGCTCTTCTAAATCTTTGTTTATGTGGTGGGAGGAGGGGGAGAGGGTGGGAGGGGTTTAAAGCCTCCTTCACCATCCCTTCCACTGCCCTGCAGAGAGCAAAGGAAGAAAAAGACATGCAATTACCCTCAAGGATTCCAACCTGGAACTGAGGAATAAGTTTCTGTTACATTTTCCTGTATATGACAGAAATCCAAATTTAATGGAATTGGATGTAATCGCTTGTTATAAGCTTTGTTCATACACCTTGAAAACTGAATTCTAAATAATTTTAAAACAAAAGAGATAGGAGAAAAAAGATGCAGAGAGGTAAAAAGTTCTCTATAGAAATCTCCTTTTTTACTGTGATGTAAAACTATGTTAAGTTTTGGTAACTATTGAGTTGAAACTATCAAACTCATCTATCTCGCCATCTTTCATGACCAAAATCATGTCACAGTCTTTGATGGTGTTCAGTCGATGAGCTATGGTGATTACTGTGGAGCCCTTCAGTTTCTCTCGCACTATCCTCCAAATTGTTTGTTCTGTGTCTGGATCCACATGTGCAGTGGGTTCATCTAGGATGACAATTTTTCTTTTATGCAAAAGAACACGAGCCAAACAAATTAGCTGTCGTTCTCCTACACTGAAATTTGCACCATGCTCTAACAACTGGTGATCTAGTTTTCCTTCCAAATTTTCCACCAATTCTTTCAGTTGAACGATCTCTAAGGCTCGCCATAACTCCACATCTTGGAACTGCTCTACAAGATCGAGATTTTCTCTCAAAGATCCACTGAAAAGGACAGGACGCTGGCCTAGTACGGATACACATCGCCGAGACACTTGAAGGTTAATGTCCTTTACTGCGATGTCATCAATCATTATGGCACCTTGGGCATCTGGCATGCGCAGAAGAGCTGCCACTAGAGATGACTTGCCGGCTCCCGTTCGCCCTGTGACACCAACATTGGTTCCACCTTTTATATGAAGATTAACGTTCCTTAATACTTGAGGTCCCCCCGGGTAGTAAGTCATTGACAAGTCTTGAAGCGTGATATCTCCTTTTGATGGCCAGTGTTCCGGGGGAAGTTTTTTCACTTTGTAACCAGGTTCATGATCAAGTTTGGTGTACGTCATAACTCGTTCAACTGACGTCATAAAATTCTCAACTTCGGCTGCTTTTCTGACAGTGTAATCCATCAGTTCTACACTCTCAAGGACGTAAACAAGCCCGAGTCCAGCGAACGCTATTCATAGAATAAAACAAAAAAAAGGATCGATGTCATGAACATTTTATTAACACTCTATGTTTTTATTAGTTATCTGTTTAAGGTGTTAGAAAACGAAAATCAGTTAGTCAAATACGAGCATTTTTAAGTTGATAGGTAGCAGATGAAAGTAATAGAAAAATCTTTAAACAAACATCTAACGAATAATTTCAAAATCCACTGAAAATATTGGTCATAGTTACTACTGCATTTTACAAACAGGGTCCGATAGAAAATGATCGTATTTTGCAATAAATTAATCTCGAGATTAAGAAGCTTGTTTAAATAAACACTGAGTGGCATGTACCAAACGTCTTGCAAACAGGAGGAAAATGGTTTGAGAGAAGTAATCAGAGGGCTCTGTCCAACTACAGACATCCTGTGATGCGATAAATTTCTCAATTGACAGGTGGTCAGTGGGGGATTATGCTATTAGATACCTACCAGCATCTTGAGAAACAAAGATCGCCCCCAGAGCCACTGTACACGTCAGGAGGGAGATAAGGAATGACATACGCACACCAAGCCATCTCTCACAGGCCAGCACCATGATATACGACTGAGTGTGAACATCCTGACATCTGAAAGGAGCGAGATGAAATTAACACGGCGCATGCACACCTAATTGGAAGGACTTAACTCCTGATTCTACTCTCGTGCAAGTTCACAGTAAAGTTTCATACTAAACAGAATAAATTTCTTCTTTGATGCTCACCAATCTATTTCCAGGCTATCTGTTGCCTACGTTTTACAGTACTGTGAATCACTTAAGGGGGCAATTAGCCCCAGGAAAAGCCATGGTATTTGAGCCAAAAGGCAATATGCGTTCTTCGACTTTGCTGATTTTATCAATGTGCAGAACGCACGATAAGTAAGAATTAAGAATCACTTAGGTCATCGTTTAAGTTCTGTGTTGCTCAGCATTAGAGAATCAGAGCGCGAGATATTCAAATCGTTTCTCTGTCCCTCTCCCGTGACAAGACAAATAACATCTTTCTTAAACCTTGATATTGTAAAGTACAACTGGTTGATACTGTACGATATACCTGTAAAACTGTTCCTCAAAATCTTTTTGTCTTGCTCTTGTTCGAATAGTCTCCAGCCCATCTATGGTATCCGAGATGTGTGAAAACACAGGACTTCGGTTTATAGACTCTAATCGTTTCAACTGTCTGGAAGTTTTCAGGTAGTACTGAGAGATGTACACGACTGCTACTGCCATAGGAACAGCCACAAATAGAAGCCATGGATTGGCGACGGTTGGAACAAGAATCGAGGAGAGCATAGCCAAGACTAATTGGATAGCAAACAGAAACGCCTTGGGTAACACCTCGTCCATGCAACCTGTATCTTTAGAGAATCGATTAAGAATTCTGCCAACAAGGTTTGAATCAAAAAACAAAGCAGGCGCCTCTAGAATTGCCACCGTCATCTTATCGTGAAGACGTTCGGAACATCTTACGGCGGCCTGAAGAAAGCAAAATGCTCTGGCAGCGGCAAATATGAAGGATCCAAGTACTAAACAACCAAATATGATCAGGTTTGTTTTGTCTTTCTGGTTTTCTTGACTCTTCTCAGTTAAAGATGAAAGCCAAAAGTCAGGAGAAACTATCATCACTATGAAAAAAGAGAGGACATAAAAATAGTATAAATTAACCTTTTAACTCTTAAGATCTCATTAGTAATTCTCCTTACTATCTGCCATACAGTTCTTTTGATGTTAGTTTGGAGACTTTGGTATTGGATCAATTTAAAATCCCCTTAGTGATATTTTTCTTTATTCTCATCACTTGTGTGCTTGATATTGTATTGATATTGTGAGGAGAAATTCAGTCTTGGTCACTCATGGGAGTTAAAGGGTTAAGAGGTAGTAAGTTAGACTAATCAGTTAGCAAAAGATACGTTTTTGGATGGAGATGTCAAAAATTGGTGGATATAAAAACGTGGCAAAAGCGACGATAATAATTTTGCGGGATTTCTGAAAATTTTCCTTTGTCACTTCGCAGCTTAACCCTTTCCACCCTTACATCAGTATGCATATTCTCCATACTGTTCTCTATACATTTCCAAAGGCCCTGACAAGGAGAATTTGTTCAAAAAATCAAGGGCTTCTTTAGTTGGTGATCATTTCTTTTATTCTTGTAACCTTAATGTTTCACTGAGGGGTGATTTTCTAAGGAGAAACTAGATGCTAGTCACTCTCAGAGGTTTAAGGGTTAAGTATCAAAATTTATATAAGGAATTACAAGACAAGTGTGAGTTAACTTCTCCCTCCTAAGGTGCTGACAAGGAGAATTTGTTTGCCAATCAAGAGCCTCTCAAGTTGGTGATCATTTCCTTTATTCTCGTGACCTTAATGTGTGATTCAGGGGTAATGTTGTAAGGGAAAATTATTTGGCTGTAAATACATGAAAATCATATATGTATACTGCGGTTAAAGAAACGGATATAGAAGCGATCCTCGCAGCTTTGAACCAGTAGTTGAAATTAGGCCTGAAAAAGATTCAGGCCCGTATGGGATTTGAACCTATGATCTCTGCGATACCGGTGCAGCGCTCTACCAACTGAGCTAACAAGCCAACTGGGAGCTGGTCACTATGTTGTAGTGCACATATATGATTTTAGTATATTTTCAGCCATTATTCACCACTTGGAAGATTTATTTTCCGCAGGCTTCGTCGAAGAATTAACATATCTTAATCACCGGTGAGGTAAAAGCAATAGAGGGTTCGAATTCTTGAGTCTGAAAGACTGAATGGAATAAAAGATAAACATACCCAGTTATGATAAAGCCTCAGTCTACAAAGCTAGCGAGAAACTGAAACTTAAACGAAGGCCTCCGCTATAAACAGAATGAAAACCTATCAAGTTTACCTTGAGTGATGAAGCACAAGAAGATAACTCCAACAATCGTCATAGCGTTTAATCCACTTTTGAAGTAGTCCCAATAGATCTTAAAAGTCACTCCTCCGATTATACGGTCTTCGTCTGATATTTGTAGCTCCTTGTCCTGAGTTGGTGCAGGCATTGCTTTATCCTTGACTTCTGGGTTTTTTTCCTTTTCCGAAACCGATCTCGCATTAGGCTTCCTGTCTCCGAAAGGCTTTTTGCAAAGTGGATCAAGTGCAGAATCAAAAACACCCTTCTCTTCAAGCTCGGAGAAAGTACCTTTGGCCAACAAACGTCCTTTGTACAACACAATCACTTCATCGGCTTCTTTCATGTGTTCTACTTGATGGGACGTTAGCAGTCGGGTTTTGTTGCACAATATGCCTTTAATGCATCTCTCAAAGATATGTTGACTAACTTTCGTATCCACGGCACTTAAAGGGTCATCCAGCAGGTACAGATCTGCATCCATGTAAACCGCACGTGCCAGGCTTACTCGTGCGCGCTGGCCCCCACTGAGAGCCACGCCTCGTTCAGCTACAACCGTTTCGTCACCTTTTGGAAACTTCTGAAAGTCTTCCATCAGGGCGCATGCTTGAACTACTTGGAAGTACCTGGTTTCGTTGTAAGGTTGACCAAATAAGATGTTTTGTCCTATTGTTCCAGAGAAGACCCACGGTGTCTGTGGCACATAAACAAGGGAAGATGGCCAGGTTATTGTTCCCTCTGCGACTGGCACCTCACCCGCAATAGCTGAGAGAAGAGTAGACTTTCCACTACCCACTGAACCTGTGATGACTGTTAATTCTTGTGACGCCGTAGAAAATTGGACATCTTGCAAAATAAACACATCATCACTAAGGTTTTCTTTTGATGTTAAAATTGACACTTCCAGGGTCGCTGGCATGGCCATATTGTGTTGTTGATCAACAAGAATACGGGGATTTTCTTCAGTTTTATCGTGTTGATCCAACGAGATTCTCGTCAGTTCGGATACATTCCCTCTCCCTTTGTCAGTGCTTTCGCTGGAGTGATCATGGTAGGCCTCGGCTAAATCTTTCAGAAGAAGGAAATGCTCGATTCTTTGAAGTGAAACAAAAGCCTCGTATGCTTCCAAGGTACCATAGAGTAGGTATATGCAAAGGCTTATTCTTGCTACATTGACGAAAGAGAGAAGCATAAACACGTTAACAGGCGTGAGGGGTTGACCAGTTAGCACCAGAGTCATGACTGACACCAGCATCGCAAATGGCACTGAAGTATACTCCAAGGCAGCAAGGGCTGACAGAACACTGCTTTTCGTACGGATAATCTTCATTTCATCACTGCAAACAGAATAAATGCACTGTTATTCTTCTCTACCTTAAATACCTTATCAAATTGTGAAAAACGTCTAAACAAGAGATTGACTCTCGTAAGGGCCGAAGCCTATCCGGTTTCTGTTACGTGAAGCGCCAGGTTTTTACTTAGCATTTAGTAAGGAGTCCCTTGACAATTCTTCGGCTCTCATATGTCTTTTGAAGGGTTAAGTACAAGGACACTACACAATGATCTTAGTGACTGTTTGAGCTGGGCTTTTCGTCTGGGATTCAGTGCACTGAAAATAAGCCAACTAGTATACCAGATGTCAAAATGAACTCTAATTGGATTAATCGGGGAGCACAGCACTATCCAAATAATTTATATGGATAGTGCTGTGCTGCCCGCTTAGTATTATCGCTTTGTTCACACGAAAACAAAGTTTGCTTGCAATAGACTCTTATACATCTTAACTTCTGGGTCAAAAATTTTCCGCGACTGTTTTTTTTTTCCAGTAGTGGGGTCGCAAAACAGGTGTGAAGAAAGGATCTTGGCGGGTAAGCTGCTTTTAAAGCAATTACAGGAAAAAAGCTAGCAGTGTGTGTCCCCTAGATGTTAATCGAGTGCCTCTACCACCTTAGCTACGAAGCTAAGGTGGTAGAGGTACGAGCTAAGTAGGTGGTAGAGCTAAGCCTTATGATATGGGCGCGAAGTAAATTTGAGCAGGTTCTTCTTTCGAGGAAACGAAATCACAAAGAAATGAAATATATGATTTTTTTACTTCGGTTTGTTTCATTTCATTTGAGCTGCAATGAATATTTTGCCACAGCGTTCCCGGCCACTTCGTAATCAGTTAGTACATCTTTTTACTTACCTTCGTATCCGTTTTATTTTCCCTCTGAATTCATCCTCCCACGCATGTGTTTTAATGGCGCGAATCCCGGAAATTACTTGGTTCAACAAAGAGAAGCGCCTATCTGAGACTGCTGCTGTGCGCCGGCGAAGTGTAGCACACAGAGAGGACAACGCTGCGAAATACGGCACCAGAAAAAAAAGGCATATGACTCCCATGAGAGCTTGCCAACCAATTAAATACACAAGAAAAACTACAGTTCCAGGTATGACAAGGGTGAGATCCAAAATGCTACCGAGAATCAACATTAACGTTTGTCCTTCCAGTCGCTGAACATCGTTTGAGAGCAGGTCAATCACGCGTCCTGTTGTAAATTTGAGTAGATCAGCCCTCTTGAGTTGTAGAATCTGTCAAAATTCATATTGCGAAATTATCGTACTGAATTATTATCATTAGATATACGGAAATTATGGGCAAATTACCCTCACACAAGTACTGATCTTCAAAATATCGAGTTTTTCCTTCCACTAAACAAAATTTAAATAAGCTATCATTCCTCCTTGGGTAAATAGCTCTGGAGTTCGTTTGTTACCTCCTATGCATCGTGCGCCATAGGCCGGAAAGATTAAATCAATGGAAAAAAAAAAAAAAAAAAAAAAAAGCGTTTACCTTTCGATAAATAAGAGCTTTCAGAGCACTGCTTACTCCGATACCAAGTACATCTGAACGATAGGAAGAGTGTCGCATGGAAATTGTTCCAATCAAGGCACCTAGTCCCATAATTATGACACAACCATACGAAAGAGGATTTTTATGTGGATCAGGTTCCATTAGAGAGGAAAGCAAGTAACCCAGAAGTAGAGGCTTGAGGAGTCGCCAAAGTCCGTACAAGGCTCGAGGGAGTACCATGATCAACGCTTCGTTGATAGATATCATTGTAATGACGCTTTTCCAAAGTTTCGGTCTCTTCCCATTGCCTTTGCTCTTAGCTCTCTCTTTCTCCCATTGTGTCTGGAGGCGTTTGCTGTAAGATGCAGTGGAATTTTCTCTTAAAAGTGGCGCGAAGTCGCTTTCCTCTATAGTTCCTGTGCTACCTGTCTTGAAGATGTTGTCCATCCATTGAAATAGAAGAAGAGAAATAAAGCCGTCTTTTCTTGTATCTTCGCTTGTGGTTATTTTCTGGTATCCATCTTTTGTCATGATGCTCTGTCTGTGACCTAAATATAATATTGCAAGAAGAAACGGTCATAAAGGTGACGTTAAAGGCCTTCAAAGTTCAAACAAGTTTGAGTCACCTGCGTTATATTCAAACTCTGCATAATACAGAGGCGCGCGTAGATGTAGAATTTCTCGTCTAGTGTTGAACTCGATAGCTCAATCGTGAGCTATCGAGCTATATTTTACTTATGAAACTCGAGATACTCTAAAGTCGTTCAGTTTGTTTCTCATTGTCAAAAATATTTCGAAACTGAATATAGACCTCAGTGTTAAATTAGAAATAAATAAAAAAAAGAGCCGTTGTCGCCCACGTTTTCCACACAACGCAAAGTTGGGTTATAGTACGTTGTTGTTTTGTAGAGGACGCAAAGAAATTTACAAAGAGATTCAGCGCACGTGCACAGCCATTGTTCTACTCATTAAACTTTTTGTTTAGAGACGTTCCCGTTGCCGTTCCCTCGCTGTTTTCTTAAACTCCCCATTATCTTACTAGTTTGCTGCGCTCCCTCATGAGAAATCGGTCACCTTTAGCAAACCACGACGGCGACGGCAACAAGGACGTGGCAAAACAAAAGAGAGCAGAACAATATTTCAGCACGTGCGTTTTAAGAGCTAATGTCAACATGCCTCAGACAAACAGCGGTAAGTCCCCAAGATTTGTTTTCTCTCCTACTTTCGTATTTTGTAGCCCAATATGTCCTAATGTGGTGTAGTTTTTTGGTGAAAATATATTTTAGTTTTGGAGAAATGATTTTTTTCGTTCGACCGCTCAAATATGCAAATTTTCACCGCGAATATTACCCGAGTTGTGTGACGTCATGTAACGAATTTACTTGACCTCCGGTATTTCTGTCAACATAATCCTTTGTTTTATCATCTGAACTTAAGGTGGTCTTCCACTCACATTTTAAAAATTTTCAATATTAACTGGGTCCAATTCATGATGGTACCATTGGAAACATCATCCAAAAGTGCTGCGAATTGCACTAGTGATTGACATTTTGTAACCGTGGCAACAAGTTTCCAGGCCCCCAAGGGTGAAAAAAGGTACTGTCTACTAACAATAATATCTATAGGACCAGAGGTTCCATTAACCTATAAATGGTATCAAAATGAACCACAATGATAGCTCTATGATGTACACCTCAAAAAGTAAACTATCAAAGTATCTCTCAGAACAATAACAATTTATTTCTGAGAGGAACAATATTTTGGCCCTAATCATTCTCAAAAATTTGAAATGAGATTTATGCACTTTCATACAACTGCTTTTTTTCTAGTTCACATCACAGCACAAATACTAGAGAGAAGTCACTGAAAATTTCAGTTCAATTGTTTTTTTCTTTCTTTTGCCGCGGAGCAATCTCCGCTGAGATTTGATGACTCCTTGCTCTTTGTAGTTGGCCTTTAGAACTCTGATTGAATCAGCTCTCTAAGCATCATCTGTACAATAATTGCCAGGAGAAATTCCAAGTTCCTCTAGAATCTTTACAGAAGCCTGACAGCCAAAGAGGGCTACTGCATCGTAAATGCCCAATTGCGAGGTCTCAGGGCCAACAAAGACACTCTTTGGCACTCTCTCCCAGAACATTGCATTGAGGGCCTCATTCTGATTTTGTGTCTTTCCATCAAGACACTTGCTTAGAAGATTGTCTTCACTAAGTCTTGCAAAAATTAGTTTCAGTTCAACAATAACATCTAAGGGTAAACCAGCCCCATGCTTGTGGTAGGTTGTTTGATTGGCTCGATCCCTCATGTACCCACACCAACTAGTAGGACCCTCTGAACAATGCTGCAAATGCAACTTTCTGTCAGCTGAGAAAGCACAATGAAACAAACTTGCATGAATAGCTGACCTCATGGCTGGAAGATTACCAGAATTGCTTCTAATGGCAATACCATAATAATTCTGTAACCTGTCAATCATGCTGTCTGTTAGTCTTCCTTTACCACCCATTCCTTTCTTCTCCTTCTTCAATTTGTGCGAAGAAGTGCCAAGTCTCTTTTGTACATGTCCTACACACTCCTTGTTCTGCACTTGTACACTATAAATAGCATACTGTTCTTTTATCAAACTGTAACTCTTTCTGTCACCATCTCCATAATATTCTGAGTACACAAGCTTGTGTTTCTCTACTGAGTGAGAGAAGATACGCATGGCACCTTCAGGTTCCAAGTTTGGGACTGATCCTTGATAATTGGCCTGGCATTTTGGCTCATGCTCTGCCCTCCATGCTGCATTTTCAGGGGTGTCAGCATCATTTTCACGTTCCCTGCACATCTTACACACTTTGCTTAGGGGTTCAACACCCAGAATTTTTCTGGTATCCATGCTGATAGCAGTGACACAAACATTTAAAGAGGAAAAACCTCTTCTCTGCTAGGTGTCATCACAAGATACACTACACTTTACCAATCCTTCTTGGAAAGCTGGTTTTAGGCTGTGGATTTCTGCAGCACTGGTCATTGTTTCCACCGCAACTGCTTTAGCTGCCTTGAGCAACGCCTTGTTATGCAAGGCATACGGTGTTTGCCTTGGAGGTTGAGGCATATTCATTAGCCTGCAAAATCGTTTCGCTGCTGCGAGTCCACAGCCAATTGATCGCATGCCATAAAGAAGTCTCCTATTCACTTCAAAACATCGCTAATTAGGGACTTTGAAAGACGTGATAAAGTCCTTCACCCAGCCACACGAGGCACAAAACAAGCGAAGATGGCTGGCACATCCTTTTCGTTTAAGAGTTTGCTCTTGCAAAGCACTCCTTACACGGCAAAATTCTGCATAGAGAGTCCAATATTTCCATGTCGACCAAACGAAAGCCTGTAGTGGATGGATCTGTACTTGGCGCGTTACGATTAGACGATAGCCCTTCGTCAGAGCGATAGACGAAGGGCTAACGCTCGAAACGTCAGCTTTTTTACCCTTTACGGTGGCTAATTTACGTTTTCAACTCAGTTGTTAACACTATGTGTATAGGAATGAAAGAACAATACCTAAGGATAGCAATTACAGTGAAATTAGAAATTAGAAATTAGCAATTTCCATCAAAAAATGCGAAATTCTGAGTGTGGAAGACCACCTTAATCCCCTGTCATTATTGAAGCTGGCAAAGAGATATTTATTTTCTGGTGAATATTTTTGTCCGACGTAGCATTAAAACAAGGACAGTTTTAACAATGACCAATATGACAGAATCTACTGAGCTTCTAGCTTTTAAAAGACAAAAGGATGGTTATAAAGTTACTGTAAAAATTTCTTTGCGTATTTGTGTTGTTCTATCGTGAGACGAACTAATAGTCGGGCAAAATTTACTTGCTAGCAACTAGGAAATGTACATGGTGTGCCTACTTGTCGCCACTGTTTATTGTCATAAATCAGTACAATTTGTAAAAAAACTAACACTCTTACCTTGTTTATTTATGACTTTATAAGACCAGTAAGCTGTTTCGGTTATTAGATTACGCTTGAGTATTACTTTTTGCCAGGAGCCCAGGTTTTACGTTGTGTTTTCCCTTACCCCATGTATATCATAAGCTAGTCACGCAATAATTGATACCAACACAAATGAATATTTACCCTGTATGAAGATTTTTGTTTATGTTGAATTGACAATATTACAATATGTTAATTTTGTAGTCACTTCCGTATTTCTTCACCCATAAGCCGGGACTCTAAAAGTTAGAGGCCTTCCAACAGACTCGCGTTGTCCAAACGAAAACGCAAAACCATAAGCTATAAGCTGAGAGCGAAATTCTTGATTGTAACCGGCCATTTGAATGAGCGAACCTCACGGAAAAAAATTGGGAAATGGGTCAATGAACACAAAAGCTAGTGAATGAGAATAAACACAAAAGAACAAAAAGCGAATCAGGGAAGATGTAAATACCACTACGCAACTGTAGAAACACAACAATACTCTCAGTTACTGTAACCTGACTAACGTTTCAAGCGAGTATCTCTTTCGTCACTGTTATTTTTCTCATCATGCCAAAAGCACGCCGCTCTTCGTATACTATGGCTTTCAGGATAAAAGTTATCGCGGAGGCTGAAGCTGTAGAAAACAGCTCGAAAATCGCTTGAGATTATGGACTAAGCGAGTCCATGGTGCGACGCTGGAGACGAGACCAGGCGACTATTCTTTCTGGCAAGCTTAAGATGTCTGCAAGACGTGCAAAAATGGGCCGTTTCACTCCCAAGTGTCCCGAACTAGACGAGCAAGCGATGGAGTGGTTTTCACGGCAGAGAGACCAATTATTTCATTTGTAATGTGAAATGAGAAGAGTTTTTGCCGCGTTGAGTGAGATCGTCTTTCAATGTGCGGGAAGCAAAGAATCTGATTGGTGGTCAGAAATACTTTGTTGTCATGTCAATTTTAAAGCATGTCACGTAAAGAGTGCTGCTGTCACGGAATTCACGGTCATTTCGCATTAACATTAAATTTGTACTTAGTTTTGAATTCCAAACCCTCGGCTATAAGCCGAACCCCGTTTCTTGTGAAAAAATCTCCCAAACTTTTGTGTCAAATACTGA